TTTTTTTTTTTTCTGAGTGGATTTTGCCCTGTTTCATGTTTATTTTTGGCCTAGAAGTTTGGTTTCGATCTTGAACATGGAAATGAACTGCTAAAACGGTAATTTCATAGCCACTAACTAGTTCTAGCATGTGTATTAGAAAAAAGTAGCTCTTGAATCCATTATGTGTTCAATCATTCGATGCTTCTGTTTTTCTTATCTTATTATTTACTGATTCTTGAAATTCTTCATGAACCTGGGCATTATTTGTCCGTTAGACGGTCAAGTTGATTAGTGTAAATTCAGATGATGGCGTGCTAAAGCTAGGGGAAAAACTAAGCTCCAAGTTGCAACCTCATTTGCCTAATCAATCCCAATACGATACCGATACGGCGTCCATTTTTGGATTTCTTTCTATGCTAGCAGCAGTTCCCTGCAATTCCATACAGTTGCACAAATCTAACTTGTTCTTTGTAGGTTCTCAAATCTTGTGGATTTTATCTCCCCTTTTATAGCATCCCCTGTTTGATGCATTTGTCCTTTTGTTGATGGAAATTCAGCTATTAATTCTTTGGTAGCTCTATGTATTTGTTAAATTGTGCACCGTGGACAAGGACTCGCCTAATCGATAAGTCTGTAACTGTGTATTTACTCCTCTGCTTCTTGCGCCTTTGTTATTTCAGATGCATTATGAAGATCTTGAGGTTATGGGTAGAGGTGTTTGCACTGGCAAATGAAGGAAAGGCAGCGTTGGCGACCTGAGGAGGATGCTCTGTTGCGTGCGTATGTGAAGCAATATGGTCCTAGAGAATGGCACCTTGTATCAGAGCGGATGAACAAACCTCTAAACAGGGACGCTAAATCCTGTTTGGAGAGGTGGAAGAACTATCTTAAACCCGACATCAAGAAAGGATCTCTTACAGAAGAAGAGCAGCGTCTTGTTATCCATCTTCAGGCTAAGCACGGAAACAAGTGGAAGAAAATCGCAGCTGAAGTTCCAGGGCGAACAGCCAAGAGGCTCGGGAAGTGGTGGGAAGTTTTTAAAGAAAAACAGCAACGAGAACAGAAGGAGAGCAACAAGATTATAGATCCACTCGAAGAGGGAAAATACGACCACATTTTGGAGACATTTGCTGAGAAGCTTGTGAAAGAGCGTAGCGTTCAAGGAATCGTAATGGCTACTTCGAATGTGGGGTTTCTTCATGCAGATGCTCATGCTCCTTCCCCTCCTGCAACACTTCCTCCATGGCTAGCTAGTTCTAGCACAACCACAACTGTAGGGCCACCATCCCCATCAGTGACCTTAAGTCTCTCATCCTCAACGATACCACCAGCACCTGCACCTACACCCGCGATTCCATGGTTACAGCCCGATAGAGGGCCTAATATTGTCTCTCACGTTCCAAGTATAATGCCATCTCTCGGAATTGCTCCTTTGGCCGGAGAGAACCAGATGGTTTCTGAACTTTTGGACTCTTGTCAAGAACTTGAAGAAGGGCATCGTGCATTGGCAGCACATAAGAAAGAAGCTGCGTGGAGACTGAAAAGGGTGGAATTGCAATTGGAATCAGAGAAAGCATGCCGGAGGAGGGATAAAATGGAAGAAATAGAAGCAAAGATCAGAGCCCTTAGAGAAGAGCAGAAGACTGCTCTGGATTGCATTGAAGCGGAGTATAGGGAACAATTAGCAGGATTGAGGAGGGAAGCAGAAGCGAAAGAACAGAAACTGGCCGACCAGTGGGCTGCAAAGCATTTGCGTCTAACAAAGTTTCTCGAGCAGATGGGGGGTAGATCAATAGTCGAGCCACATGGCCGGTAAAGTAGCCTAGTTCTCATCGGCTTACTGTTGCCTGCCACAGCTGTAATATAAGGATATTAAGCCTTTTTGAAATATAGAATAACTTGGTGTGTGGTCAATCTCGTGTTCAGTGTAAGACTCTCCAGAAGGCATCTATCTACATATTATCAATGTATTTGCATGGACTGTTTAGGCTAAATTATCTGCTGCTAGGGATCCGATGTCAACTACAAGCCATTAATTTGCTCGAAAGAAGCTTCCTGCAATTGCAATATTGAGACGATTGAGTTGAGTATTAAGTGGCATCTTCTGAATTTCTGCTTTCAGACTGCATCACAGTTGCAGGGATGGTTGAGTTTACATTAGAAATTGACAGTATTGATGTTAAGAGTTGCATTCTCTCTTTCTGCTAAATTCTATGGAGTTCTGCTTACAAGTTTTCGCAGCAATTGATTCTTACTTGGGGGCTTTGCTTCATGTTTCAAAATATTATTATATTTTATGGACTCACCAGAGTTAATTTCAGTATGCATGATTTCTAAGTCAGGTTTTTACGACTTTATGCGAGGAAAAAACAACCAAAAGCATTGCTGAAAATGCACTT